CATACATAACTCTTGGTTATTTCCTAACTGTGGGTGCCCTCGACGATGCGATAAGGTTTTTTTATATTATTTTTTTATTAATAATTAAATTATTACGGAATATATTAAGGTCAGAGACTGATCCTTAATATGATTATTCGATGAAGGTTATATATTGAGGCCCATTTTCTGTATTTTATGGTGGTCTAAATCTGTCTTTAGGAAGCGTGAGTTGAGCGAAGTCGGTTCACTGTCGCAAGCGTTAAAAATGGAGGCTGGGAAGATGAGGAGTATGTGAAAAAATCTTCGGACAGTTTGGTAATGTGTTCTTTTATTGTCCGAAATTTGCAGTTCGTTGATTTGCTTCTGTTCAAATAAACCATGCGCTAATTATAGTCTTAGCGCTTTTATTTTTGTATAGTTGCAAAACAGGTTAATATAGATTTGCTGCATTCCCCAATAGGCATGCCATAAAATTCATAAGATGTCTCGAATTATAGACTTGTAAATTATCATCCGTAATCTATTTAAGGGAGGATTTTTGTTAATAGTGCGCTAAAGTTGGGAAAAGTATTGGCTTGTGTTTTTGTTCGTGTTGTGTAAATGTTGTTTCCAGTTTAACTTATATCAAGTTGATTTCCGACTTAAAAAAAATATTTGGCTGCTGTATTATTTGCAGCCCACGGAAATTCGTTGTTCAAAATTAAACTGCGAGTGTGGGATGTCTCTAGGTTGAAAATTTTCGCCTGTGTTTTATATGGATTCATTGTTAATTCTCCAATTTTTTTGCCCATTATTAATATGTCAAGTCGTCTTGTAAGTTATCCTAGCTGTCATAATGCCCATGTGGAAAAAAGTGCAGTTCGTCAGCGTAAAGTGCTATTTGCGAACTATTTACGTGTGGATTAATCGGATATATAAAATTTGAATAATACGGCATAAATGGACCCTTGGGGCAGCCCTGCTGAAATCTGGCGTAAAGGATGATATCGCATCATTAATTTTGACTTGGAACTTTTCTTTGCGTGAGAAAAAACTTTAATAATTGGAATAAGTAGTCTGCAGTGCCTATTGTCTTAATTTTTTAGAGAGGCCTTGATGCCATATTTTTCAAAACGCTTGGTGATGTCAGATATTTGCGATAGTGTGCTTGTTTGCATGGAATTCCTTGCACTATATATTCGTAAGCCGTAATATTTGATTTTGTGAGTGGTTAGTCGGAAATCCAAATTGCGTTTCTGGATTACATGTGTGTGGTCATGAATTTTATTAATCGTTTTAGTATCAGTTTCTCTAATAGTTTCGACAATGACGATAGACTTATTGTCTATAGTTTGCTGATCTGTTGATTCTTTTCTGCTTGTCGGTAAGGGTAGCACGTTTGCAATTTCCAATCGTTCGGAAAATAACCATTCTGAGTGCTGCGTTAAATTATTTGCTGTAAGCCTGCTATCGAATGTTATTATTCTTTTAGAACTTTATTAGAAAATAAAGTCGCATATTCCTGCTGATTTCTTAGTTTATTTTTATCTTGTTTTTAATATTCTTGATGGATATTACTTATATTGACTGGACTGTATATAGTGTTCTGATTAAATTCCTCCAATCTTGTTTATTTAAAGTGATCGTTTTCGACTGGGTTTTGTGAACGACTTTCAACGGTAGGTCACTCAAAAATGTTTTTCTCATAATCCAGACATTTGCCACTTGTAAACCGAGTTCTTAATTGTGGAAATTCTTGTTTTTGTCTTTTTATTCTATGTATGGAGACCACATATGCCTTAGATGAACGGCGGTGAATTTCTTTTAGAAAAGGTCTGAAAGCTCTATGCATATCTAGTTGTTCTAGTTTAGTTTAACAGTCTCGTCAGTTGTTAATTTCTTTAAGGCTGCGTCGTTCTGTTCATTTGCCAATAGCGTCTTAAATTGTGTTTACTTTTAATTAGGTTTTATTGATTTTTATTGGAACTTGTTGCTTGTATATTGTTTTGTTATTTGAGATATGGTTAGAATTTGTGAGGATCCTTATGTTGCGGAAAATAATCGTTTTACCTCATATCTAAGTCTTTCGGATGAATGTTTTGCGGCACTGTTTGTAGTTAATTTTTAAAAAATTTCTCTGAATTTAAAAACAGTTAATTTTACCCTTTGCTGTTATAATAAGATGAATAGATAGAAGATGAAATGATATGATTTATGGATTGTGATCCGAGTCGAGGTCAGGAATCACTTTTGCCGTATAGCGAAAATCAATATTTTTGTATGAGATATCTAATAAGTCAGGAATTATATTAGTTTGAAGTAATGGTCGTTTCTTATTGGGCCATAATACTTAAATTGAGAGTGAGCTAGATTTAGTAAATTTTGCCCTTGAGGAGGTTGTGTTCATCCCCAACCCAGTGTTTGCTATTTAAAAGTTCACCTATTAGCATGATATTATCGTGTATTTCCAAAATTTCAGTATATATTTTTCTAGGGAATAAGCTTATTTGGAGGTTTATACGACCGATAAATGGTTGTGTCTTTGTTAATTATTTTGGTTGTTATTGCGGATGGTTTCTAGTCGTGCTCGTTAGACTATTAATTAACCGTATGTTTTATTATCTTTGTGCACTAGTATGTCCACTCCTCTGCGGTCCGTCCGCTGAGAGACCGTCCCGTGGCGATAGATACTTAAAACCTGGTATTGAGAACTTGATTTTTGAGGTAAACAGTGAGTTTCTGAAATACAAGCCTATTTTTATGTTTGTGGCTGCTATAAAGTGTCGTAATGATTTCTTGCCTTTTTATCCGTTCGCGTTCCAGTTGAGAATGTTTGCTTCTGGATTTTATTTACGTCCATTATCCAGCTGATTGTATTAATATTTGTATTGTGGAATGAGTGCCATTTATTAACTTGGTGCATGATTGATTATTACCTCACCTTGGTGTAGAGGGAGGATTGGAGTTCGATAACGGGGGGGCTTGCTGTTAAGTCTTTGAGGATTTGAAAAACCAGGATTTATGGACTCTGCGTTGGGTGTTGTGTGGATGATTTTGAGGATGGTTTTCGGCAAGTTTTTACTCTCGTGGCAAGTTCTCTGTTATTTTAAAAAGCCTGTCGTCTCTGATATATACCGCTCTGTTTGCATTTTTAGGCAGTTTCTGATTTAAACTTCACACCCTTTCCAATGCTGTGTGTCTCTTTTTTACAAAATTAACGCATCTCGGACTTTTCTGTTTTAGATTCCGTGCATTTCTGATAAGTGGTACCTAACATCTTAAACGCATCTCGGAGCGCGCCCCACAGTTAGCTGAGTCTGATCAAATCTGTTGCAGTTTTACACTGAATTGTAATTTTGCGTTAGGATCTAGAAATTACCCTAATAACACTATATAAAAATCTATCTAATGCCTTAGAATGCCTCCTTCCCTTATATCTGTCCTCTAAATCTACGCACATGTGTTAATGTTTCTAGTCTTTTCCAGTGAAGGCGAGTTACGTGATTACGCTATTTTTTAACTAGTTCTTGAAAATTTCTATTTTCACTATATAGTGTAGTGAATATCTGTTAATAATGATTTAGAAATGTTTTATGCTGGTCACGAAACGGCTCATTTTTGTTAAAATCTGTGACCAGATGACACTTCCTATGGTTTTTAGAACACTGGTCACTTCACGAGCACTCGCAACTCACTGAGTGCTCAGCTTGACGCCGACTGAGTTCATTATTTCTGAAAAAAGATCTTAGGGAATTTGACATAATATCCTTGAACAAACATACTTTTTTTTTCATTTATTGAAGTTTTCTTCTACGCTACAAAGCACGAGTCATCTCCCTCATGCACCGCCCCGAAAAAATCGAAAGTTCCTCTTTGATAATGATTCACTCTAGCTTCATTCTACTTGAATGTCCTCTATCAAAGAGGTGCAAGTAATTGAATGAATGACGACAAAGCCCTTAGTTAATTCCTCTGCGACCTAAAGATCATTGAAACAGGTGCGTTCCATTCTAGTGCTGCGCAGTTTGCAAGAGTCGTAGAGTGGCACGTGATCTTCTGAGCATCTGTGCTACGCAAAACATCTTTTCCTGCACGCGAAGCCACATACGGCGGTCGTCTCTAAAATAAACGGCAATTGAAATTCAAATGCTTCTAAACGCTTCATTTAGGTTTTAATTTATGACATCTACTTTCAATTATTCTCCGTTACTTTCTCTTAAACGTAGTGTAGGGAAAGTTATGTAATGCTGCAGAAAAATTTGTCCATATTTTGACAGAATAACACGTGTTCTTAGTCCATATAGAAGACTTTCATTGTACTTGAGTAATATTATTTTCTCACTTACGTATTATGATCAAAATAGATGTTTTTGGAGATCTCTGAGAACGAGAAGATGGTGTTCCAAAAGATCTGACTGTATGTTTTAAAGAATATAAGAAGACAGTTTTCAGGTTTTAAATAGACTGCTTCTGATATACGATTCCGTAGCATTGGAAAATGCTTCTTACCTCTTAACGCTCGACTTCAAACCTAAGCCTATCACCGTATTCACCGTATCAAACATAATATTGACTTAAAAATGTATTTAAATCTAAAAGAAGAAACACATACAAATATCACACTAAAAATTATTATTTTAATATAAAATGAAATGATTCGCAAATAATTATAATATTAGTTGAATTTGTTTGGATTGGAAATTTAGGTTTACTTTGGTAGGCAGGGCAGGGCGAGGCAGTATCATTTTTTCCTAGTATCATCATGTAGTATGGACATGCATTGTGTAGCGAATGCATCTAGTATGGACATAGAGCACAACTACTCTATGCTCATTGAAGAACCTGTTCTGAGAAAACTTCAAGAGAGACACCCCAGAACGTTCGTACCCAGAGAGGTGAAGTCGCTACAGGGAACGAAACGGCGGGCGCGGGCGAGTGTAATATAATGAAGCACTTGAAATGAGAAGTTGCAAACACCTCGGGGTAGGATGTCTGGAAATATGCAATGTTCATCTTATATTTCAAGATGAAAGATAATTACCCAAACCATACAAGTTATTATATTTTAAAATTATTTTACACAAAAATATTTTTATTTTAAAATGTATTAAAGTAGAACATATTTATTAAGGTAGGCTTTGTTCACTTTGCCAACCCCTCCACAGAACATGACTAATCTGTGTGCAATGATCCGACACCGATTGTAGTGAAATCTGCAGAAAAAACGTCCTATAAGAATACTTTCTTCCTTTTACTGCATTTCGTTAGCATAATTATTCTATTCTAATATTTTAAATGTTTCCCAAAAGGTGATCCTCGCTAATGCTTCAAAATGCCGCACGTTGGATTGTAATGTGTGAATTCATTTCTTTCAAAATAGGCATCCGAACGGCATGAAATTTACATCCCAACGTTTCTACTAATACGATATATTGCCTCTGACCAATTTTGGAAGGCAATTAAATCATTCACTGCACATGCTTATTTTCATATTAATTTTTATTACAAATAATGCTTCATTTAACAAGTTTGACATTGTCAAATAATGACAAATTTATTATTATTATTATTATTATTATTATTATTATTATTATTATTATTATTATTATTATTATTTGTAATAAAAAATTAATATGAAAGAAAGTATATGAAGTGACTGATTTAATTGTCTTTGAAAAGTGATCAAAGACAACACACTGTATCAAGAAAATTAACAGACAAATATAAAATATAAGTTTTCTAATACTGTGTCTAATACTATATTTTGTTCGTGAGCTACAGGCTCTGTGTTTTGTTGATCCGCTTAAATTAAGCCAATATGACACGAACTCGCATGTCGTCCACTAGATCTCGGAAAAAGGCCGGCCATCCTCAAGGAGCATCTCCTAATTCCCTCTAGTATCTCTCGTGGCGCCTTTTCCCAAAGTACCGTGCCACCGCCAACCCTCGCAGAAGAAGCAGGTCGCCTTCCGAGAACGTTTAACGGCCGAGCGACTCCGGCGGGCACGCGTCAGCGCCTGCAAGAGCCGAAGAGATCGTAAATGTTTACGACAGAATTAAGAAGGGGCCTAATGGCTGTCAAGACTGCTTCATCGAGCTTTAATACGCGGCCGCTGGGCAAATTGGGCCGCAGTCCTGCAGCAGAGACGTCGGGGAGCCGTCTGGGCAGGGTTGCTGCACGGCGCCTGCGTTTTTCACCGCTTCTCTTGCTCATCGCGTTCGTTCGTAAATGGAAGGTACGATGATTGTCATTTACCGTTTATAATATCGTCCGTGGACGAGGGTGAGTGAAAGAATATTTGGGTTTTCCGGACTCGTCAGCTACTTTGGTTATTACCCTCTAGTGTAGTGAATGTTTTAGCCGGCAGGTGGCAGTGAACCTCGCCCGCTGGAACGTGATATCCGACGCCGACCTACATATTGGTTAGGGAGTTTCCCCGTCCTGGTATCTCCCCTTTCGAGCCACCACCGGGATAATCTCTAAGATTCCGACTGGTCTCCCAATATGTGTGGTAATGTAATTTATGTATGTGTGTGTGTGTCTGTGTATGGGAGAGAAAGGGACAGTGACGATGGAGGAAAGATCGCGCGTGTTCGTGACTCCTTTGACTCCAAGATAGCGCTCCGTCATTCACATCGTACTGATCGGAGAAACCACGGGAAAACAATCAATCAGAGACGCGGGCCGCTAAAATTCTCCTCTAGACGGTCTCTGATTCGACCTGGCTGTCTAGTCAGTGTCTAAAAACCGCCACTGTCGGGTCTCGAACTCGAAGGCCTTTTGGTCAGAGACACTTCAGTGGTAACAGTTGTTGAGCTCGGCTATCTCAGTCTGTGGGGTTTTAATACAATTGCAAATTCTTGTGATAAAGAACATACCTGTCATATGTACTCTGGCCAGAATACGAAACTCTGTTTCGTAGCAAAATATTGAATCTGAAATTAAAAACATTTTTTCATAAAATTTATATTTTGTATCTTTAAAAAGATTTGAACATAAAAATATAGTTAGTTGCATAATAAGCCACTTTTGGACTAAAAGAAAACCCATTTATTTTGAAGTAAATGAATAATTAAAGCAAATTATAATTTTTGTTGATGATTCAAATAGGTGTATACATTCATTTTTAAGTGACAAATGTCGTAAATGCCGAAGTAAAATTTGTTAAAACACCAATAAACCAATTTCTCTTCGTTTTTCTATTTAAAAAGAAATCAAATATTTGTTTAGATAGTGTGTTACTATTCATTCTAGAGATATAGTCATAGAAACTTCTCTTTCTCATTGTATCTATGTATTTTTCAATTTTTTGTATAAATCCTTATTAGAAATTAACTTAATTTCATTATTTTGTATTTAAAGCTTAGTATTTTCCTTAGTATTTTTATTTCTTTCTTTCCTGAACAATCAAGTAATCCTCTGTTATTTAGGGCTAGTGTTTCAGCGGCATATAGTGCCTTTGGTTTTATAACCTTTTTATAATGTTTGGTTTTTGAATACCATGACAGTGATTTTTTGTTATATGTATCTTCAGTTAAGTGAAATGCTACTTCAATTGTTTGTGTCCTATCTTCAATTCTATACTACCACACAAGCCGGGAGACTGGCCAAGTACTTACAGCTTCATCCCGGCTGGGGAGGTGCCCCGCTGGTGGGGGGTTCCTGGTAAGTGAAAACCCGGGAAGCCGACGGTGGGTCGGAGCCGAATCTTGCCATCCTGCGAGGGAAGACCCTACCCTTCACGAGCAAAAACATGCACCACACTTACGGGACTAATTTTTTTTTTGTTACATTACGCGCCCGGAATCACTAACAGTCAATCAATCACTCAAACGTGCAACTAATCTTCGTAATAGCTTTATTAATTGAACCATTTGTTCATTGATTCATTCACCTGATGAGTCCAGGCAACATAGTTGCAACGCCAAGCTCATGATTCTGCCGCTGCGAAGTTTACGAACCAAGCGAAGGCGCGTGCGGGCGGCGCTTGCAGGATGTATTTTTCGGCAACGTATATTCCTACGTAGAATTTTATTTTTTACCCAGCCCGTTTGGCGGCTTCTCAAAGGCCAAGGCGGCGAAGTCCAAGGACATGGTACGCAGAAAGGCGAAACGTACTTCCGTTGACAGTATATGTTGTGGCACGCGTCAACAGACCCTACAAAAACGAGGCGGTTGCTGTTCGGACCCGTCCTGTAGATTTTTGTGAAAACGTCTGCGATGAAATCATAACAAATATTTAGGTTCATTATTTAATTTATCATCCTCATTAACAACCTCAAAATAATGAAGATTTTGGTTATTGTGATTCTGTATCTGTAATGTGATTTTTATATTGAAGATCTGTGATTGTTGACAACCTTGTAATATAATAAACGTTATAATCTGTGTATAATTTTGAGATGTACCAATGTGAAAAAATAACTAATGATGTTATTGTCAATAATAATTATAAGAATATGTGAATATAAATCCATACGTTCATTTCATGACCACTGTTATCATTCTATGAATTACATAGTTAGAGATATTTTCTAAGAGAGTGCAAGACCCGCTCTTTATTTCCCAGAGCAAAACATTCTCTTTTCTTGAAAGGTAAATGAGTGAGAGTATTGTTGTTTCCGGGACCGGCAGATAGTCAAGTTATTAGTTCCGTAAATGTAGTGCTTGTTATGGTCCGTGATATGGGGTGGTTCCTCCCCCCTAAAACGTGCAATCCAGCTCGGCCCTTCACATTGGCTTGTGGGGCTTTCTCACTTTATGTACAGCCTCTGGAACAGTACCAGTTCTATGCTCCTCATTGGTCTTCCGACATGTGTAAGAAACTTTAAGTGTGCGCGTATGTAAGGCGAGAGGAGAAGACAAGGAGGAGGAAAGGAAGATCATGCGCGGTCCCTGGACCATTTGTTAGGGTACTGCTCCAGCATTCGCCTGGTACTGATAAAAAATACAGAAAGCTACCTATCATGGCCGCTACAATTGTCTCCCAGACAACGGTTGAATTCGACCCGGTTATCTACCCAGCGTCTAAAAACTCCGACACTCTCAGAACTCTAACCCTAGCAACTCCCCCCCAATGACTCTGCAAATGCAATGGTGTTGCTGCAGAGCCATTGCAGAGGGTGATGCGTAAACGAGTTGTTTCTACTGAAATAATCTTCTCATCACTTTGTATCTCTAAGTACTTAATATGAATCTCTTGTTACAATGTTTGGATTCTTAAACCTCCGGAAATTGACGTGGCCTGTTTTGATATCAGGTTGATAAGAACAGAATTGACACAGTTGAGATGAATTGTTGCCATGTCCCTCTTTGATAGAAAACAGATGGAAATCGTAAAAGCTATTTGCCACGGCCAAAGCGGAAATATGGTCGGGAGGGGAGATTGTTCTCATAACGTAGAGAGGGAACTGGGAAGTATGAATTTGCCAGGTGAACACTCACAATGGAAGACAATTCCCTAACTAACCCAGGCCTGAAAAATCGTTATTAAATTATAATCAGTATTCGTACATTGAGACAATTTAAATTTATCATGGCGGCAATTTCAAAGAATTTTGAGTGAGAGTGCGAATTATAAGGCAACTAGATTTCATGCTTGATTAAGAAAGTTTCATAACTTCTAGCTGAAGCTAAGATGAGTGTCTTTTATCCACTGCAATACGTGTTATACTGGCTTTCTTGATTGGTTGAATCATAGATCTTCAGTGCCACTTTCTCTTCCTATGATGTGGAGCGAGAAACGAGTCCAAATAATTATTCAGTTGATAGTTAATTTTTACGGGATCGATGGTCCACAGTGATCAATTTCCCAGCCCTACTCATCCTGCATCATATTCCTTTCAATGAAAAGACATAGCTCTTGAACCTCAATCCTTCACAAGTACCGAATTCAGAATTTATACCAAACGTTCAACATAAACAACTCACTGTCACGCATAAAGAATCAAATGATCTAATGAGAAATTTAGAGACTCCGAAAGTCAAGACAAAATTGTTAGTCGTGGAGCTTAGTGGCTATCTCTCAGACGATACAAAAATGTAAATTTTTCGCGGCCATCAGAAGCCGCACGAGAAATATTTCTCAATGGAAGAATGTATTGTGTTATGCCGTGTTGCATTAGACGTGTTTGAAGTGATGAATTTTATACACGTATCTGAAAATAAAGGCTTTGCATTGACCCCACTAACTTACGTCGCGAAGAAGCGTTACTCTAAAATGGCAATTACCTTCCATTTCTGTTGATTATGGAGCGCCTACAAAAGTGTCATATACCAATCTAATCCACTTCTTATTTTAATGAAAAATAACAGATATAAATGACAAAGTGTACTTAAAAGAAAGCTAACTTAAAAGAAATTGCTATATTACTGAACTACATTAATGCTAGTATTTACTTGGCTGTCCGGGTGACGCCGCGTCCATGGCGAAGGTGCCGACGTTTCGGTCACCATTTTGCGACCTTCCTCAGGGCGTAATGCCGTTGGCATTACGGTCGGTTACAGGGGGTAATGCCAATCGCATTACGCCCTGAGGAAAGTCACAGAATGGCGACCGAAACGTCGGCACCTTCGCCATGGACGCGGTGTCACCCGAACAGCCAAGTAAATACTGACTCCGGCCGCGGAAGCCTACGCTCTTACATCAATGCTTCTTTAAACACTGTTGTTTCCTCTACGAATGGGACAGTCACAACCACCTAATGTCACAAAAAAGAATGGCTATTAAAACAGGTAATATAATCTTGGAAATGTAATATGCTACACTAGCCTTTGGTGGATTCGGAGATATTATTACTTTCTCCTCTCCATATAAAACTTTGTCTAATTAAAAAGTTGGATCAAAATGTATAATCTTTTTTATAATGTCTATTTACAAAATTTCCCCGAATAATTTCTGCAAAGATGAAATAAGAAGCTTTTGTGAGTCCATAGGCTCGCCTTATTTTTAATCGTGCATCCTTTGAGGATATATTTAATGATAATCTGAAGAGCCATGACAAGCGTTCTGAAAAGTCGTAAACAATTTCTTGGGAAATAAAAGGGCATACAATTATGAGGAATATGGAATGTCCTTACTCACGTCTTAACACAGAATGGAATGCAATGTATCTCTCAAATTATACTTTTTCAATTCTCATCTGCACCTATTCCTAAAACGTGTGAGATTTTGAAGAATATAATTACTTGAATTACTTAATAATTTGAACAATTAATTCAGCATAATTTAATATGCTGAACATTTTCATTAAAAAATGTCGAGTCTTCAAAATATTTCTCTGAGAATATCCTTGCTGACTATTGTGCCACCAGACACTCTCCTTAACTAGAAAAATCGAGGACAGCAAATTGTCAATGGGATTAGTTCAGATAAGAATTTATATAGTATGCATGTAAAATAATATTTTTTATAAACGTAATTATTGC